GAACTACAGTTCTAGCAGAATAATGTGGTACCATCATTTATTTCGTTGGCTTCTCATCAGCTGCTTACAGCCTAAATAAATTTTGAGGTTTAAGTACAGACATGTTTTAACATACTTGCAAATTTTACATGTTGTCAGTTGACAGAAAATTCCACAATTTGTAAACAGTGCTCAGAAGATTGCGCTTATATAGTTTTCACACAGGCAGTTCAAGTTAAAACAAATTAAATGTATGCAGAAAATGGTAAAAGAGTTACGTAATAAAGATGAGATATGCGTTAGATGCATAGTGACTAGTAAGTTAGGTAACAATGAACTGAGTTGAGCTCAAATCATAGAAACAAGAGAAAGACAAAATTACAGATTATAAAAGGGAGGGTGAGGTTAAAGACAAAGATTACGTAATCAGATGAGAGAAAAAAGCATCCAGTTACCAAGGCAAGGAAAGACTAATAACTGCTTCTTTCTGAACACATAGATCAGGTTTCAAGCGTTTGGTAGAAATCGCTTCAGCAAACTTAAGGAGAATTGAGCTCTTTTCCCCATTGATAATTTTGAACGAATTTTCGACGTCCACCTCATGACCCGTGTCGAGGAGATGCCTGGCGATGGCACTGTTTAGAGCATTTGTTCCCTTTAGACGTAAGCTTTTTGGTACGTGTTCAGAAAATCGTAGATATGCCCTTCTTTCTGTTCTTCCAATGTAACTGCTCCCGCAGATACACGTAAATTTGTATATGCAGTTGGAGGTAACATGAGAAGGATATCTATCGATTTTTGATTGCATCAAAGAGCAAGTTGTTCGATAGATGGGAACGAGCTTGGCTGCAGGATAGGCTATGGCTAGTGATGTACTCAGCCTTCTGTTGATCATCGCTGCAATGTTTTCACCTTTATAGTCAAGCTGAACGTAGACTGGCTTTTTACCCACTGTGATTTGTTTTACATTTGTGACTTCAGATCTTCCATACTTGTTGATGAACTTTTGAGGATACCCATTTCTCTTCAATATCTTTTCAAGGAACACAAACTCCTCCTCTAGTTTCTCTATAGAGCATATTCTCCTCGCTCTATAGTACAGAGTCTTGACTAGACCCCGTTTAAAGTTATTTGAACAAAAGCTGTTAAAATGCAAGTATTGTCCTTCTGAGCACTGTTTACAAATTGTGGAATTTTCTGTCAACTGACAACATGTAAAATTTGCAAGTATGTTAAAACATGTTTGTACTTAAACCTCATAATTTATTTAGGCTGTAAGCAGCTGATGAGAAGCCAACGAAATAAATGATGGTACCACATTATTCTGCTAGAACTGTAGTTCTTGCTTTGTTCAAATTCATTAAGGGGAATAAATGTATGAAATGGGTATTATTTCTTTACTAACGACGTTTCAAGCACAGTTTACTGGCCGTAATCATGTCACCTTGGTGTGATAAATAAATTAGGATCAGTAAAACATAATACTGTATCATTGTGGGTTTAATCAAAATAAAACTACTCTATCATGGAATTATACCGCGACTTTTATGAGTGGACATATTTACCACATTTAAACTAGGTTTCTTCACAGGATGTACTGCTCCTGAACCATCAATATTCTATATATACTTGAGATATTGTCACACATATTAGAGACTTCATTAATCATGTGCAGACAAAAATATAGTCTATTCATGAAATGCCAATTGTGCACTTTCTAAAAGTTGACAAAACTGAAAAAATAAACTCTTCATTTTACTCACGCTCAACTAAATAACATGAATGACACTTTAGAAATTATGCAATGATGTTTTTCTTGTTTCAAAGATAGTCTAATTATAGTTTTTGTTTTTGAACTTAGAAAATATTGAAATATACTGATGTTTATCTGTTAATAGGTAAATTAGAAATTAAAAGCAAAGTTTTAAGCCAGTAGTACTTCACAAGAAGGCTATTTGAATATTTAAAATAATACGTTTTTCAATTAACTGCCAAATTTTCAGTTAAACAAATGTCTATCTATATATTTTCAGGCATGAATAAATTCATGCTAAGCACCATCGGTAAAAAGAGTTAAATTTTAGGTATATTGTTTATAGTTAGAGAAGTACATTAATAAATTATTGAGCGATAATTATTGTTACATATATTAGAAAGAAAGTCAATTGTCGAATACAGTGAAAGCCATTTTGTAAGTTGCAAAATATAAAAGCTGAATTTGTTTGAAGTGGCTAACAAAAACAAACAATGTAAATTCAAATTTCTTACGAAATGATTTTCCAAAGATATACAACCACATTTCTACCAAACAAAAGTGTAAAATGACTGTATCCAGGATCAGTCCGTAACGGCGGCCTGCTTAAGTCACTGGGATACCAGAGTTTCCATCCACTAAAATGTCTAAGCTCTTCAGCATTACTTGCCTTGTTAATTATGCAATTACATTAGATTTCTCACTGCATGCACTCGTGCACATATTTAATCAGCTGTCAATGAAATATTAAGTAATTCTTGAAGGAAATGAATAAAATGTACCGAATTGCTTCTCTCTTCATATGCAACTATACTATGTCACTAGACATAATTCATATTATTACTTTACATGTAAAACCTATAAGAAGGTGACATAGTTTGTAAGGATGAAAATTTTTGTACTATCTGTTCACACAGTGTCAAAAAAGCTTCATTATTAGTAGAATAATTACTAATTTAATGGGAGTGTTGAAAGAATTTGCCCCACTGTGAAAAATGTTGACTTTTTTGATGGATAGATTTCCCTCTTAATGTATGTGAGGTATTTACATCTGCAAATGGACATAGCGAATCATTCCCACATTTTAAAAGAGCATGGAAAGGCGTCTGTGGTTTACTGGTGGAATACTCACCAACCAAGCACGTGGGCGATGGTTCGACTCCACCATATTCATAGCAACCACGCCCAATTAAAATCTGTACTACTCTGGAACTACAAACATCAAGCTTCAGTGTGCTTCACGAGCATGTACTCTAGAGGAACCACAAGTTTGTAAGTTACTCGCAGTGAACTGAAGCTTAGCTTCTGTGACCAGAAAAGTATGCTCATTCACTTCACTTGCTAGAGTTCCTATTCATTGATATTTGTGATTTTACTTGAACATATTAGAATATAATGACCAACTCGTTCGCAGCCTCCACTTTTTGCTTTCTCCTCTTCGAAACCACCTCTTACCCAATCAATTTTCTTTGCCATTCTTCCTTTTATTACTGAAGACTAATTTTTCATATCTTTATAATCCATTTATGAATCACTTCCATAATTTGATAATAATTTTTTATTTTTCGAAAATAAAGTTCTATGTACGTGCTGAGTTCTGTTCCAACATGCGAATTTGTTGAACAATAAAACTCCTTCGTTAGAATATTTATAGTTTTTATGACTTAGTGGGTACATTGTGTTATTTAAAGTGACTAGTGATTTCATTTTGGCTGATGATGACTAGTGATGGGATCCAGGATTCGCATTTCGTCTTATTTAGGACCCGTCAGCTGGTTACATCTTCATTCCTAGTAAATGATAGTGTTCCTGTTGATATTCAAGTAGTTCATTTATTCTTTTGAAGACGAAGATGTTATATACAACGGTCACTTCTTGTGCAAGCTTTATCAGTTATTACTGCTTTAATTAACTTTCAGTCAGTTTATTATATATCTGTTATTATATCTGTCATAGTAATCCTGTTCCGCAGAATCAGAGGCAGCCGAAATTGTATTTTCTGAACTTTGGGCAACTATTTCAGCAGTGTGCTTACTTACTTTCACCCTTAGGATGAAAATCAATCCTAATATTCGACTGTAGAAAATCTGTTTTGGAATTTTACTACAGTCTTTACCGGTAAGGATTTAATGAGCAAAGTCTTGATTTAATAAACCAATTTAAAAAACAACATTCATGAGCACCCTAATGTAAAAGGCATTATTTGGCCAAACGTTTAACTAAAAGATTAATTTATTGCATCCTAATGATAAGTTATCGCTTATAAATGATAGTTAGAATCTGCATTAAATTCTTTTTTTAACAACATCTCTTCTCTGAATGCCACCTAATGATCTGTTAAATCCAACTGATATGACTCATGTTCATGTTTTGCATAAATGAAGAATAGATGTTCACATTTTATCCTGACTAGTATTTATCAAAAAATGATGAACTAACTAATCTTGGGGCAGATGAATCTTACAGAATATTGACAATAATAATTATTGAAGCCAAATCTAAATTAGATTTTTGGTGATTTGGACCAACTGCAGTCTTTATATTTTCGTCACGAACTAACATCATTTACAGTGACCATTGCAGAAACCCACTTAGTGATAAACGGCTTTTGCGTTCAATTTTGAAACTCCTCAGCAATCGCCTTGTGGAGTCATGGTGCTCACCTATGAGCAGTGGCGAAATAGAATGAAACAGCCATCCAGTACTCGCTGGTTTCCCTCAGTGATAGTTCTTACTGGTGTTGGTTCGCAATGACAATGTAACAATTAAAATTTAAGCGATAATTATTCAGCCGATGGATTACACATAAGTGTTGCGAAATGGTTTTAGAGTTGTAGAATCATAGTATAGATGATAATATCTGTTGCATCCTAGTTCGGTGTAATACAAACCAATTACTAATTTGAAGTTTCCCTTCTATTTAATTTCTGACACTTGTGATGTCTATTTATTTTACATAATGCAGACTAGTACTGATATATGCTGTTTAAATTATTTCCAAAAATTCAAATCTATCATGAAAAAAGCTGATCTTTACACAATTGAATATTGTGTGAATAATGACACCCACGTAAAATTCTTTTATGAGCATTTCAAGGTCATACATATGCTTTGAATCCTATAAAATACTGTTAAAATACTTATTTTGATAAATTTACTATAACATTTAGTACAAAGTATTGTTAAGCATTTAATCATAGAAACATATTTTATAAACATCGAACTGCAGTTTAAACTTGATAATTTCACAAAAGCAGAAGCTTAGGATATGGGATCACGTGCTCGATCAAAAAGTCGAACATACTTCTCCCAAGTTGGTGATCACTATGTGGACGGCAAGAGCAAGCAGCTGTTGTTCCAAGAAGCTCCAGCATGTACAATGGGAAGAACTATACTGAAGAATGGAGAAGCTTTTGATCCAAATGCAGCTGATAGCCTCATAGAACGACATTACAAAAGGCGAAAGTCTCATGGTTCTATATTCTGCTTAGTAGACAGAGTACGATTTCAAAAAAGTCGATCAACCGGATCTAATTCGTACAGACCTGATTTAACTTATAGAGAAATCAAACATTTTTATGAACATAGAAGTCGACCAGACTGCTTTACTTTAGGGATAGAAGATGAAAAAACTGGTAGACGTACATATGAGTCGTATAAATGTAAACGAGCTGAAGATGTTGGCTTACTGCGTAATACAATTATGAAAGCTCAACAGGATCCGCAATTTATACTGAGGGACAGCACACCTATCCGTCAGATCTCTGTATCGCCAACTTATTACCGTGAGTCTCCACCTCGCAACCCTCCAGTTACAGTTATCACTGTTCCACAAGAACCAACTAGAACATACGTTGAGCGAGTCCGCTCTCCTTCACCAGTATACATTAGACCAGTGACTCGACAAATTGTACGTCGTTCGCCTACTCCAGAAGAAGTTTATGTGTATCGTAATAGCAGACCAGTTAGTATTGAACGTAAATACGAAACAAGAGAGCGAAGTAGACCACGTAGTGTTACAAGTTACAGACCAACGTCTAGTCCAGGAGTGGTCGACGATGTTACTTATTTAAAAGCGGATAATCAAACAGGAGCTCAAGTTACATCACATGGCCCAATATACATGTATGTTTCAAGATCAAGAGCTCCAGATGACATCATTTCGTCACCAGACATATCAAGTTATCAAAATTCGAAACGCAGCATCTATTATGACAGATAAGTTCATTTTGACTGATGATTACAATTTAATTTCTTGGGATATGAACCTTTCTAATCGTTTTCGTTTTTCTTAATAACATGATATGGATAAATATGTCTACATAGTTCTATTCAAATAATTAAATATATTTATCTTCTTTACTATAATCTGGTGTATACCCTTAAAACTTACGCATTCAAATAATCTCTGTTACTCTTATAAATATCATATTTACTGACTAGGCAAGTATAAACATACTATTGAATGTTATAGTATATATCTGTGGAGGAAAGCATCACATTTGTGTTTTGAAAGTTTTGCCCTATTGACTGTACTTTTTTACTAATATCCTCTTATGTATATTCCAAGTATTGAGAAATGAACAGAAAAAAATGTTTGACATAACACTTTTAGTAACCAATGAATAGAGTAAATAAACGAAAATGTTTATATCAGGTGAAATAATTTATAATAATCTTCATTTAGTAATTTAATACACTCGAAATAATCGGATGCTGAAATTTACATCAAATGGTAGGAAGTATTTACAACTAACCAAATGTTCAATACATATGTTGTTTGTAGTTGTGTTTTCAAGCAGTTCAGGATAGTTTACATCACACAATATTACGTATTTACGGATGAATATGTTGAAATAATGTTGCCGAATAGAAACTGTCTGGTGCTTTTCGAGTTTCGATAATTGGTCATGAATATTTCAGAATGAGCCTGGCTTATAACTTTGGTTCCAGCTTAAGTAGGAAATGACAGAATAAAAAATGTCCTGATATTTAGCCTTTTTGGATCCTTTTTAAACTTTGTGATTGATTGATTAGAAAGTTGTGTACCATAATGGTTTCTGCTTTAAATTCTCTTAGATCATAATGAACCTAATTCTTCGGTGTAGAGTGTAACCCGTCGTGTTTTTTGTGCTATCGCGTCTCCTCATTCATTCACTTCATTGGTTCACAGTTAATTAATTGTTTTTCTTTTTAAGTAGACTGTAGATTGGGACTGTTTCTATGTGTCCGTTGATTGAATTTTATTTTGGAAGCCGAGTTTGCGGAATTTTTATTGTTGACTTTCTGTTTCCATATTATAAGACAAATACATCCTTCTGCAGTTAGTAATCATTCTATATATGTATTCATTTGTTTGGATTAAAAGAACGAAATATCACGTCTTCTTGCTGCTATTTGAAATACCTGAATGCTTTGGGTGATCTACTTGCTGGATCAGTCAGTGTATCTTCGTAGACGGTCTTGTAATTTGATTCTATCAATTATATCTGTTTCTTGCAGTGAATCTTGGACTTTTAAATCGTTTCATTTTACGTAGTGATACAATATGTAGAAATGTCAGAAGCTATTTTCTATGAATAACTTTCCATGCGATGTTATCTCAGTTTCCTGATGTTTCTGACCTCAAGCAATCTACGTGAAAGAATTAAAATAATGTGATGGGGAAAAAGTCTTTAAGAAACACACAGTTGATGCTACCTTAAATTTATAACTAAAACTGACTTGTATTATGACGTTGACATAAAGGTCTGCAAGATGTTCTCTCACAGTTAACATTGTTTATCACTTATATTAGGAACGGATTCAGCTGATAAAGCCGTATCCCAATCATTGTACTACAAATGTCCTCTTATTACATTGTAGTTATTCTGCGATCTTCCGTTTATGTTCTGTTTAGTCGAATAACTTACACAGTAACCTATCAAATCTAGTATTTACCTTTCACGTCTCTTAAAAGTCACTTCCTAATGAGTTTAATGTTAAATGAAAACTTAAATTGGTTGACATAAAAACGAGGTGAATACGCAAATAAAGAGAATAAACAAAACTATGAGCTCACTTGTTAAATGGTCTCTAATTCAATTTAGTAGGATTCCGGACCTCTTACTTGTGAAAAACTTTAGATACCATAACTTACTGAAGACAGATTTATAAGAAAGTATTAACAATACATTTAGATGATGTCACGTAAGCATAAACCTTTATTGCAAATAATATTAAAGGTACAGAGGATATAAATTTTTTTGCATTTTAATGAGACGATATTTAAAATCAGAATGTTCTGGTATGCTGACCACTAGCAGTTACTTTAGGATGACATAAATGCAGCTGCTAATATGAAAACTGTGTTGCAGTCATAATTAAGTATGAAATTTATGCAGTGACTCTGACTTATTTATGTGCAAAGTAATTTTTCTAACTTTAAATTATGCTTCATCTGGGACTGATGAAATTTAACGTCACAGTTACCTATCTAGAAACTGACATTTCAGTGATGCGTCATGGCTGTTGATAGAATGGAAACTTGGCTCATAGAATTTGAATTCTTACCAAGAAGGCTTTTGATTCTAAGCCAGTTGTGAATTAGGCTATTGCAACGTTTGAGTAACTTGAGAATCCCATTTAGTCATATGAAAAAGAGAAGACACCAAGCCACACCGCAGACAAACTTCAAAGTCGTCTACAGAGTAAGAAGTAGTCTTCCTAAAGGCGGACGAATCAGACTTCTTCAAACTATAGAAGCAATGGCGATTCACTCGCTAAGTCCTGAACTCTGCATACAGAAGAAGTTCGTTCAATCACTACACTTGCAATGAACGCAATCTATCTTATTACCTGACAAGTAAATTCTACCTAATCTTGTTTTCTGTCTCTTCATTAGTATTATTTTGTCTTCTCAATTGTAATATTTTACATTTTCAAATTTCTCGTTCTCTCCCCCAACCGATTTAATTTCTACACCTAACTACCACTGTTACTAACTTGACCAACGTTCAATTTCTAGTCATTTATGTTACGTCATCCAACTTATTTGCTCAATTTCAGTCCTAATTTAAATGGCATTATTCTCTACCACACTTCTACTTCGTTTCTACTTGTAATTACCTCTGTTGCTACCCTGACCTAAGTTGAAACATTTTAGTCAATTAGGCTATTGTTGCATTTCCTTTTACTATGCGTTACATAGAAGTTGTGTTTTGATTCAGGCTACTCAGTTGATAAGATTCAGATTAATAAGGGGAGAAACATTACTTGATGTTGAATGAAACCCACAAAATTCGAGCACGGACCTGATCTTCGGACTTGTTTGAGAAACTGTATGTTTTTTGAAAATATGAGATAGGAGTAGCGATTTAATATCAGAATTTACTGTTTAGCTACGTTAGTCCAAGTGGCCAAAATAAGGTGAATTTCATTAGATATATGTCACTGGTATGTTCAAAAAGATTGCAAAGCAGATTTTAGCTTCTTGTACACCAAGTATATTATCTTAATCATTTTTATGCTGAAGAATAACAGCTTTACTCGAGCATTGATCTTAATTGTGAATAAACACCACAGTGTAATATCATTTCATTGCCAAAAACAACTTTATCGAGATCTAGCATCCACTACTGTAGTCATTTCTGAGGTAAGCATTCAGTTAAAACTTTGATTTGACACTAGTAACTAGTGCGATGCGTCCAGTCCTTTGACTGGTGTAGACTGAATTCTATGAGTCAGGTTGTAATATGACCACCATTCGCCTTACTGACGAGTGCCAACTAGCACAAAACCTAGGTCCAAGGCTTCCTGCCGATTCCCTCCAGCCATCTAATACCATCATTCGGTTATCATACCCGTGTGACATGTTGCGCTGCAGAAGAGAAGAATATTTGGCTAAGAAGTCATGAAATTGCATAAAACGACAAGGTAACATGTTTTCCATTGTCAGTCTCTTGACTACAGTCGTTCTTTTCTATACCATGTGTTAAAGATGTAGAAAAGTAAATAGACAAATAAAAATTGGGTAATCGATCTCAAATTTCTATAAGTGAAATGCAGCGAACGTGTTAAAATATTTAGACTAGTCGAAAAAACTATTCACACCAGTCCTTATTCAGAATAACTTCTAAAATTCTCCTACTTATTAGTTGTTTCATAGAAGTTTCTCTTTTTGATAATAAATCCTCGAAAATAATTTCCACCAGTTTTTAAGTCAAGAAATAATTAAATCAGGTTGGAGTTACTCCTTTCAGTTTAATTGTGGTTTCAGTTATTTGCGTTAGCTGTGAAACGTTCAGGTAGGCACTAGAAATTCTAAATTAGACAAGTTTATTTGATATACCACTGAGTCAGTTATGCTGTATCACTGTGTGTTATATCAGATAAATCTACCTAATCTGGAATTACACTCTATCACAGTGCTCAAATTCTACTGTTTGATCAGACGCTGTAAACATGATTTTAAGAGAAAAAAAATAACTGTGTACTAAATTTTAGATTATGTGACCAAGATGTAATATTGCGGTAAAGTAGTTAAATTCTTTTACTCGCTAAGAATGTAGATACATATTAATATATTTTACAACTCAGTACAAATTTATAAAAATGTTATTGAACTGTACTCGTCTTCCCGAATGACTAAGTCTTAAAATTTACTTTAAATTCGGTTGGAGCAGAATTTTAAAGGTTACTATTGAGTAAGAGTTAACTTCAGCTGGTAACTGTAAGAAGTGAGTTACAATGAAAATGCGTTAAAACAGAGGCTATTGAGGTGATTTGAAACGTAAAACTGGAAGTGCGTCCAGAAACGAGGAAATTTTAACCATGGTCTTAGAAATGTGAACACCTAGGCTCAAGGAATTCTTAGGATAGTAAGCGTGAGTTCTAAATACAGTTTAAAGAAATATAAAAACGTCTGTAAATAATTATATTATATGGCACTGTGTAAGGGTGTTTTGTCTTATGCACCCGCGGAAAAAAATTATCGGCAGAATTTAAAATGTCTTGCGACAGTTCTAAGACAAATAAAGCTAAACTGTTCAGCCTAATTATTCTTTCTTCTCCGTTTTGAATCAAAGTGAAACGGTAAACTGTGGTTGTTACCGTAAGTCAGTTCATTGTCAGCTCAAACTCCTGAATACCTACAAAACGCTTATGTTTCTTTTATATTCGCTTAATTGTGAACTTTGGCTTCTTGTAGGTATCTTTTCTCTCCCCTTAAAAATGTTTTTAAAA